CGGCTCTTCGCATCCACGCCGCGCCCCGGAGGCGCGCTCGGAGCAAACTTCCCGCGAGCCAGGTCCCGGCCCCTCGTGCCGCTCCGTACCCGCGGACGGCGCGCGCTGGCTGCTCCTTCACGGCCGCTCCGAGGGCTGCTGGGGAAAAGCACCCGCGCTTCTTTGCCCTCCCATCCTAACGGTCCCTCAGAGCCCCCTTCGCGGAGCCGCGGCAGCACCGCGGGCTCTCGGCAAGGCACCGAGGCGTCGGCGGGCCCCTCTCAGGGTACCGCTGCTCCCGGCACCTCGGCAGCCAGGCTTGATCCGTAAAAAAAAAAAAAAAAAAAAAAAAATCTTAAAACTGCAGCCTTCAAAGCGAGCTGCGAGAGCAGAAGCCGACGCTGTCCTCAGGTACTAAAAAACCTTGTGCTTCGTACCAGCGTTACAAGGGCTTTGCCTGCCTAAGCAGCGCCTCGCGTCCCCAACTATCGCTCGAGCGAGCCGGCTGCGTCCTCCGCTGCTCCGCAAGAGAAGCGCGCTCCCCTCAAGCGGGGCGGGCGGGCGCAAGCACCTACGCAGGGCAGCAGCTCCCCACGGTAAGGCGAATTCAGTAATTCCACAGCATTTCTTTGTCTTACCTCTCCAGAAGCACTCGGAGAAGTGAGCTCTTGATGACAGAAGGGGAAAGCACAACTGGAAAACACGCCCGACACGCGCGGGCTTTCAGGACGCCGCAGCCAGCGGCTCTGAGCCCTCACCGCTGCCCCAAAAATCCGGGGGGGGCCGCCAGCCCAGCCAGGGTCCAGCGAGTTCCCCCCCCGCGGCCTGGGCGGTCGCCAGCTGACTTCGCAAAAGCCGCGAGCAAAGCGCGACTCGCTTGGCAGGTGCGCCGCGGGCGGCGACGGCCGCAGCGGACGCTATATCCCAGCCTGCTACCGGCCGGGGGGGGGGGGCGCGGCCCCCTTTTTTTTGGCCGGTGCCCCCGCGGGCGGCGCCGGCCGCAGCGGACGCTATATCCCACCCTGCTACCGGCAGGCGGACAACTGCTCGCCCTCCTCGCCCCTGCCTCGGAAAAGAGACCAGCACGCAAGATGAAGTAAAAAAAGCGAGCTGTTATTTACAGGCGTACACAGAGATGGCAGGACTGCTGGGAACGCAACGCCGAACGAAGGACAGGGGAGGAAGTCCCAAGGCTCTCCCGCTCCGGAGAAGGCTTTTTGTCCTCACGCCTCTCGCCCGCCGCCCTCCTACTGCCCGAGAATCGCCGCCAAGAGCGATTCTGACGACCGGCCCCCGACCAGCGCTGCGGACAAGGCATCCCCATGGAAACTGCCGGCTGCCTTTAATACCCGCTCCCGGGGACGGCTACGAGAGCAACCGTGTTTATTTCCACAAGCGCTTCCTCGCCAGCGGGGATTAAGGGAAGCTCTCTGCCCGGCCTCCGGCGCCAGGCCCGACAAATCCGCCCGCAGGCGAGGGGTCACGCTCCGCGCCGAAGCGAGCCCCCTGCCAGCGGCGCGAGGGCGGCGCCGAGCTGCCGGCGCCCCTGTCCGGAGGGCGCCTGGGGCACCGATCCCCCACCGCTAGCTACTCCCAAACAACGGTCAGGGGAAGCAATTCAAACGCCCTCCGGGGGCTCACTTCCACGAGGGACTGACCCCCAAACGGCTGCGGGGGCTCCCGAAGAGCTCGCTGTCAAATACAGCGCTGCAGGTGGGTCCCTCGGCCTCTTGCAGGAGAGAGGCAGAGCGACGCGCGGCGAGCAGCTTCCTGCCCGGACAGGGCCAGGAGAAGCTGAGCCTCACCGACTTGGCTGCGCGTGGGTGACTCCGTGAACCTGAGGGCGCAGGAGCTGCGCAAGCTTCACAGAAGCCCTTTGGGCGCGCGGGGAAGGACGCAGGGAGGCTCCGACGTCGGCCCACGGTACCGAGTAGTTTTTGGGGCAGAGTTGCTCTCTGGAAGACCTCCAACACAACCGACGCTGCAACGGAGCTCCGGAGCAGACGGACCTGCTGGGTGAGCTTGACTCTCCGGCGACCGGGTGTTCAGCATGCTTTTACCACGAAGAAAAACCTGAGATTTAGGACACCTGGAGCCTTGTGAACCGCCCCCAGAGGACAAAGCATTTGGCATAAACCAGTTAAGCCTAGAGTTTCTACGGTTTCTCAGAAGACAAACAAACGGACTGGAAACAGGCGTCTGCGGCACCTTACGGGGGAGCGCCCGAGAGCCGAGGCCCCCCTGCTCTCCCCCGCGCTCAGCCGCCGCGCTGCTCGAGCAGCGCCGCTGCAGTTCTCCGCGCTCCTCCTCTCTGGCTGACCGGACAGTCCCCTCTCGGCAGCTCCCCTCTAAATTCACAGCCTTGCCTCTCGGAAGACAGGCGCCGGGACGCCGAGGACAGGGCTCGGGGCAGGCGGCGCGAGCCGTCCCTCGCAGCTCTGGCAGCGGCAGCAGGTGAACCTCTGTAGCGTCGACTCAGGCGCGCCGCTTTGCACGGTTCTGCATCTCGTCTACATGTCCTCGACGCTCCACTTGTACGCGAGCTCCTGAACCGCCTTCTTGTTGGCCATCCTGGCGAAGCGCTGCTGCTCGAATCCGTTGGACCTACAAAGTAACACCGAGAAGAGGGTGGGCTGCTGCGCAGAAGCTTCTCTGCAGCAATGAAACTTTTCAGAGGCAGAATGAGTCTTCCGCTACTTTTACTCCGGCTCAGTTTCCACCTCGATCTGTGGCTAACGACAGCGAGCGTCTCCGAAGCGAGCTCCGTCACCTGCACCCTGAGGACGGGTGGCTCCCTCCCCGCCTGCTGCCGGGCGTTCGCGCTGCGGAAGCTACCCGCAGCCTTGCTGACAGCACTGGCCTTCCTCCCTTCTGTCCTGGCCTTCCTCCCTTCTGGCCCGGACAAGCAGGTATTCATCACCCAGGCGCCGCTTAACGCGTTCAGCCGTACGGGTGCCGACAGTCTCCTTCATCCGATACCTGGGCATCCTTACCGTGAACTCTCTGAAGCAAAAGCTCGTTTATTTTTACTGTTACTCCACCGCACCGCTGTCTCAGGAACACGTACCTGTCCACACCATCCCAGCGATGCCCGGGCCATATATCAAATCTGTTGAGCGGGGGCGCTGGTCCTTTGTACCTCGGTTTCTCTAGAGGCAGAAAGAGCAACACAGCCGCTTACCACTTCAGCGCAATCGCGCGGTCACATCGTCACCAACCTAAGAGGCATGCGCAGGCGCGGCGCGCGGGCTGCTGAACGGCCAGCCGCAGCTCGCGGAGGAAACTGCCTAAGACAGACTCGACCCAACCGGAGTCCGCTCGTTTTTAAGCGACCGGATCCCGCTCTCTCAGCTAGCGCGCCAACAGTAACCGCTACCGGCGAGGAGCCGATAGCAGCAAACCCCGCTACTGCGCCGACTCCGGAGCCGCAGTCCCTCGGGACCAAGCTGCTCGGGCAGTCTCGGGCTCTTCATTCAACAGCAGCGGCATGTCTACGCTGCTGGGGCCTTAAACCGCACCCTGGTGCAACTCAGCATCCAAACCTTTCTTTTCTTTGTTCTCTTTGGCCTTCCTTTTTTTGATGAAGTCAGCCATGGGGTCTCCTTCTCTCTCTTGTTCTCTCAGCATTCGATCCAGATCCTGGTCATCAATGTAACGGGCCAGCGGCTTCTGCATCTCTCTCATTGCATCTTCCACGTTCTGCTGCTGCTGCCTCCCCTGCGCCAGCCTGGAAACAAAGACAGACTTTCACTCCACACCCAAGCAATCGTTTACCCCGACTCGCTCGAGTTGCGGGAGCGATGGCAGTCCTGAACTTCCCCTGCGCGCGCAGCACCGCCACCGCACACCCGGCAGCGGAGGGAATAATCGAGGGGGTCTCTAGGACAGGCGGAACACGTGCTCTCCCGGTCCCGGGCTCAAACTCGGAACGGAGTGACGTGCCACCAACGCCACCACTGGGAGCGCTATCAAAGCTGGGCTAGGAAGCAGGGAGAGGAGAGCCCCGAGCTGCAACGCCAGGCCCCAGGACGGCGCCGGGGAGCTCCGGGGAGCCTTACCCTTTACCCCATCTGGCGTATTGCTCGTCCCTCTCGGACTTGGCTTCATCTTTCCGCCTCTGCTCCAGCCGCTCCTGCGCGAGGTCCCTCTTGCGGCCCGACTTGTCTCGGAAGACGGTCTCGGAGTGTCGGGATTCCTCTGGAGGGGGCAGATGCCTCAGGTCACGCGTTTTGGAGCATTTCACCGGTCTCCAGACAATTCGACAATTAACTGCCGCTCGTTTCATCGTTTTTCCCTTTCGCCTGTCCTAGCCTCGGAAAGGGCTTGTCGTCCAAAACCAGGCAGGAGCGCAGCTCTTGCTTTTAGCTGCTGCCCCACCGCAGCCACGCTCGGACCCAGAGCTCTCTGAGTATCAGTCTGACTTCTTCAGCCTCGCCGATGAGGCAGACAGAGGAGAAGCCCCTCACCCTCCCTGTGATTTCACTGGCATTGCTTTGAAATCCCCGTTTATCAATCTTTTATTTCAGAGGCTCGGTGACACACACCCCCCCAAGGAATCCCTCAGCACGTCCGGGTGCTGCTCCACAGGGATGCTCTCCAGCAGCAGCCTAACACCAGGGCCTGATGCGGCGTCAAGAGCCAGCTGAAAGCAGGGCAAGAGAAAGCGAGCCGGCACTCGCGCAGTCTTTTGAGACCCCTACCTTCCAAGTGCTTGTTGTTTCTCTCGTGCCTCCTGAGCTCCTGCTGCTCCCTCCACAGCACGTCAGCTGACACCAAGCCAGCTTTGACCCCAGATAACATCACGTTGGCCTGCAAATCACGCAAGAGTCACGCTCACTGCCGGCTGAGAGCCGCCCAGCGATCCAGAGGCGTAACGAGGGGACGGCCCGAAATCAAGAGAGCCGTGGCAGCAGAGACGGCCGTGCGACAGAGCCACTTCGCTGGCAGCCTGGCGAACAACTTCCCCAGACCTCCAGAAACAGAGCGGACCGAGGCAGAGCTCCTCTCTCGCGCCTGCCTCACGCCTCCTCCTACGGCAAGCAGAGGGTCTGGCGCGGCTGCGTACGTGCAGCATAGGCGGCACGTCAAAGTTCTACTCCGCAATTCGTAAGCTGTTGGAGTTGTACGGCTTCCTATCACCAGGAAGTAACCTACGGCTTAAGCGGAAAGACGGAACGCTTACCTTCTTGGGAGACGCCTTCGCCTCGCGGTGGCGAGGAGGTGAGAGGTCAGGGGGACTCCTGGAACCGTGCTGATCCTTTCCGGCTGGCAGAGCCCGTCGTGGAGGAGATAAATCGGAGTCTGACGATTCGCTCTGATTCTGTTTGAGAGCACCACGCGTGGGGGAGCCGCCGCGGACGCGGCCTGGCCTGCGGTCTGCATCGGAGGCGTTCCGGGTACCCCTCCGTGGAGATGGAGAGGCAGAGCCGTGCCGCAGGCACCTCTGAGGCGAGGGCACCTGCTTAAGCTTTTTCGCGGCTGGAGAAGCACCTGCAGCGAAGACGTATACGAAGTAAAAATCACAGAATTAGACAGAATCGGCCCCACGAAAGGACTAAACGTGGTGGTGCACGAGGTTAACTCCTAGAAAAATCAAGGCCTTAAGAGACGGCAAGCTGCAGGGAGAAGACGAGTATGCGACACGAATCTGAATTCTCTTCCTCCTGAACGCGTACTGCCTGGAGACACGGTTTCAACGCTGTTTTCTTTTCGGACGCGTTTAAGCCTTAGCCAGCTAACTCTTAGGTTAATTCTAGTCCAGCTGGTGAGAAACAACACGGGATTACGAGATCTAGCTGTACCACCAGAAACGACAACCTATCCGCTACCGTTCCATGACTGCGGACTACCAATTCCACGCCACTCGCCTCTCGGGAGCGTGCAAACGCGATCACAGAGCGGGCAGCCAGCGAAGCACAGGACGGACAGCACAAACTCGCACGCGCGCTCACCTTTTGTTCTGCTCTGCTTTTTCAGACTAGGTGACCCAGTCCTCTTTCTCCGAGGCGGTGAAGAATCCGGGTCGGAATCGTACCTCTTCTTCCGCGGAGGGGACAGATCCGGAGTAGCCTGACGCTTCTGACGCGACGAGGCCTTGTCAGAGACGCCGTGCCGGAGCTGAGACTGCTCTCCTTGCGGCTTGTCTGTGGTTTTGCAGCCCTTTTTCCCCATTGCCGAACTGACTCTCTTTGGAGATGTGTCTGGGGAGTCGTGACGCTGTCGCCGGGGCGGTGACAGGTCAGGGGAGTCGTGACGCTTCCGTCTTGGAGAAGAGAGGTCCAGGGAGCCGTTGTGCTTCCTTCTCGGCGGCGCGGGGCTCGGGGGGGGGTGGG